GAAGTTTAATCTGTAATGTATTTTCCATTTTGTTCGATGACCTTTTGCCATCTCTCTGACAACTTGAAAATTCCACGCTCGTAGAAAGTCTGATCCTTTTCGGCCAAAAACTGAGTTAAGTGAGATTTTACAGCGTCATCATCATTAAAAGTTTTACCACGAAGGGAGTTGTCCAGGGATCGAAATAAGTGGTAATCCGATGGCGCGAGATCAGGGCTATATGGTGGGTGTAACATCAATTCCCAACCAATATCCATCAATTTTTGCCGAGTGGACAAAGACGTGTGCGGCTTAGCATTGTCCTGGCGGAAAATGACACCTTTACGATCGACCAATTCTGCTCGCTTTTTCTTGACCGCTGCATTCAATTTGTCCACTTGCTAACATTCACGGATAATAAAAAATAACATAATAATAATAATAATAATAATAATAATAATAATAATAATAATAATAATAATAATAATAGTGAGAGACATCTATGATTGAAATCGGCAATTACTTAGTTGCCAACCCAATAGTTTCGAGAAAATCACATTTAAATGTTTGCATGACAATGATTACGGCTTACGGTTAATGAGTATTTAATCGATTTTTCGTCGTGTCCTTCAACGTAGCTCTCTTAATTTTGAGGATTCGGACATAAAATTTTGTAGACGAATTTTTGAACCTATATTCTTCAAGAAATGAAAAATAAAATTGATTTTTTCAAAGACACGCTAGAATATTCTTTTAACTAGGAATCGTTCGGTTAAGATGAATCATTTGTTTGATCACATAATCGAGAGGAAGAGTCAGAATTTTCCTATCTCCGTCGAAATCATGCCCGCTTGTGCTGCACCTATTGTTCACGATGCTTATCCAACTGCAACGTTGAACGAGCGGTTATCTTATCGGTAAACGACGAATTATCGCCGCAATCTTGCAAATTGAGATGGCCCGCGTTCGATCGTCGCGATGCCGTGCATTGCACTTCGGTTAATCACAAGACGCTTGCATTTTTATGCCATTAGTTCGAACGAAGCAGAGAAATAATTCTCGGATCCTCTTTCGTCCGTTCCTCGTCGTTGACGTCAGATTTCCTCATCTTCCTCAGATTCTTCCTTCGGAAACAATGACATTAGACAATCGATCGTCACGCCGTTCATACCTGAACGATAATACATATAGTTCCCGTTACAGTGGCGTCATTCACTTACGCGTTTTATGACGTTCCGTTATCCTACTCGGAGCTTCGCGTGCCTCTTACGTTTTATTAGCTCATTATGATTCGATTTGTTTACATGGATATAGACGAATGTACAGTCGGTGTAAAAAGTATTTCTACACCTTCTAAAACGGAATAACTTTTTTATTATCGAGCCAATCGACCTACACTTTTTTGGGATGTTAGAGGGATTAGTTTACTTGGTAATGGTTAAAAAATTGTTTTCAAAAATCTCAATCTCGTTTCGGATGATAACACAATTGAAAAATAATGTTTTCTCAACTTTTTTGTCCAGCAAAATTTCAAATACGAGCAAATGATTCCGTCATCCACGCGCGACTGAAAATTGCAATTTATGCAACATTTTTTGGCTTATTATCTAGCAAAGTAATCTAACATCTCAAAAAACTTCAAGTCATTTGTTCTAATGCTTAAAAAATTATTCCGTTTTAAAAGGTGCATACACAGTTTCCGCTGTGAGTGTATGTATAAGTAATAATTAGATTGCGGAGTGAACAAAGTGCGTAAAGTAAGTAAAGTGCGTAAACATTGATTTCCGTTTTGAATCATTTTAATGTAATTTTATTTAATCAAAATATCAAATTTTTGTAATAGTGTCAGTGTTTTGTGTTTCATCTACTTATTGTTCTCATAAATACATAAAATCTGAAAAATATTTATTTTTTGAATATTCAAAATTGTGGAGAAGCACATTTGAAAATTCAATGGTTTTGTAAATCTTGATATTTCCGAGAATTCCGAAATATTCGGTAACTCGACCCGATCTCGATAAAAATTCCCGACCAGACATTTTCAAATTTTTGCACACCTCTACGGATTACTTTTCTGCTTCGTTGATTAACGCATCGACCATTGAGTACTGTTTTCCGAGGTGTCATTTTCATCGGAGTGTCACATAGATACGCGGATGACACCATCGCACAGTACCGCGATTCGAGTTACTGACTGGACAAAACTCTCTTTTTATTGGAGCAAATGAATATGCAAAAACATGTTTTACCACAAAACAGGATATTAATATTGATCATAAATAATAGATGAGATGAAATAAAATACAATTATATTAAATAAAATAAAATACAAAATTAACGTATTATAAAACATCATTCGTAGAACTAAATTCTTCTTTAATAGGTGAAATGATGTTTTTTTCATCGGGTGAGTATATAAAAATAATACAAAATGTACATACCTTTGAATTTTATATATTTTCATATAATATTGATATATTTCATTAAGACGACCGTCTCTTTAAAATTGTTCCAGCTGTCGAAAAATTCCCCTTGTGAAATAACGATCATAGTCACTAAAACCATTAATATTGTTAATTTCCGTACGTTTCCACATATTAAAATTTATATGGAAAGAATGATTAAAGTAGGCACTAACGATAGCAACATTTTTCTCGTTCACTGTCGTTTATAGTCCACTTGCAGTTGTTTTTATATTGTAAATCCGACTTAAGTGATTACAATAATTAACAGAATAAATGAAAACAATCGAACCGCTAGTTTGCATTATAGAAATTGATTTTAAGGTACGAAAATGTAAATGCGATACTTATTTTAATGGTATCTCTCAGTTCATGTTAATCTTAAATAAGAACTTGTAAGAATTGCTTTAAGAAATTGAATACAATGTCTATTCAAAATGCTAATTCATTTGTGTCGTTGGAACTGACTTTCGGAATAATACTGACATTTTTTTATGAAATTAAGTCATGAGTTTTGTCCACCTAATTAGCATTAATCGCAACACCGTGCATCGGTGCAGCAGAAACAGAAGTCTGATTCATAGATGGCAGAGACCTTAGCGGAGGTGTTAAACTATTTCCGTTTGGAAAGAAAATTACGGCGACGTAATTTTCCGTTCCGTTCTGACATCACTCATCTTCCGTGGTACAATAGTAGAGAGACATCGCGTCATGCTTTCCAACGCTCCCCTAAGTCGTTGCGCCGTTAGGGCACAATGTTTTGGGAGGGACGGATCATCGCAAACCGGAAGCCGTGCCCTTGCTGCCCCGTGAACGAAAGACGCTAATCGATTAATCGAATCGTTAATTACAGTGCTCGACTGGCTACCTGTGTGTTATTTTCCGCTGCAGGATTCCTCGTGGTGTCGTTAAGCACTACTGAATGGCTCGCGATTGCGGGCGTCGTTGTAACGTCACTCTCTTCCGGTTTGGGAGAAGTTACGCTGTTGAGCTACAGCCATCTATACCCAAAGTAAGTATCTTTGCCCTTTCATTCTATCATGAATCGATCCTCTCCGTATCAACGATCATTTTCCACGATACGATTCTATTTCTCTTTGACGATGTCCAACGTGCGCGGACGAGATTCTTCCTTTACGGTTCTGGAATGACGATTTTTAGCTCGGTTTTCACGATTAGATCGTTTGAGATTAGTTGTAGTCAAATTCGAGAGAAACGATTGCCATCTCGATGACATTGATCATTGATTAATTAATCGATTCACTGTCTGATCCTAGCGGTGCTCGGGGATCGTATGTTCCACTGTGTAAGCGAGCAATGCGTACGAAAGGCTAGTAAACGATGGAAAAAAAATAACGATGTAAAGTGTGTTGACGCAGATGCATCGGGTATCGTCAGCATCGCACGAATCGTGGTACATATTGACAGTTCAGGCAGTTTGCTTCAGAAACGTAGCGATAAGATAATGGCCGTCGGAATTGTGGGCCCTCCGATGTTTAAATGTAACAAAACATGTTTCACTGTTCTAGAAACCGGTATGAAAATAAGATAGGAAAAAATGATACGGTAGAGTACAGTACGGGATACTGAAAAACTTGTTGCAAGCACGAGGTACGTCTGTACTTATGTGTAATAACTCCGTTAATCACCCTCTCTACTCTAGCCACTTCTCTCCCTGGTCTCTTAGCTGATGTTTCCTAACTAACAATTAGATTTGTCGTCGGAAAACGTTTCTCGAAAGTATGTACGGAACATAATAATAGTATCTTAATCGAATATCGTTCGGATCGTTGATCATTTATTTTTCTAGTTTTTGTTGCCCGCTCGCTGATAGATAGCCTGCTAGATTGTATGTTGAACTATGTCCCCATTGCCAGCACCAATTGAACCGTGTGCCATTGTTGCCCGACAATTGAGAACGATTAATTGTTTCGCAGACAAGTAATCGCGACATGGTCTTCCGGTACTGGAGGCGCCGGAATAATTGGCGCGCTATCTTACGCCGCGCTAACCACGTGGATGAGCAACGAGGATACTTTGCTGGTTATGTTAATCGTGCCGATACTACAAGGAATCACTTTCTGGTTGATCCTTGTTCATCCGCCGCACGCCACTATACCGATCACCAAGAACGGTATCGACAGTCAGGAACAGATCATTGAAGTCACTAAGAAGAGCTTCAAGGAGAAGATCAATTTGGTACCGGGCCTGCTGAAATATATGATTCCGCTCGGGCTCGTGTATCTCTTCGAATATTTCATTAACCAAGGACTGGTAATGCGTTCCTTTTATTTTCACACGTTTTCATATAATCTTCGGCCATTCTAGGCTTTCGATGTACGCGCATGTCACGTACCGATTTCACAATTTTTGTTACAGTAGACTAATCGTTTCGAGATCATTGAAGCACGTGTAACATTGTTACAAACTGGAGATCGCTATATGAGCCGTTTATTTTGAAACTGGTACAAGTCACTTTGTTTTTAAGTCGATATATTTAAGGGTTTGCGTTTTAACACGTTTCAAAATATGGATGCTAACTTTCGAGAAGATTTACTTGTATTTGTTATCTCAGGATATTGATATTTTTCTCGGTATAAATAATTTCGTATAAACATTAAAAAATCACCACTTTTCATTACGGTAAAGTGACTTATGCCACTTTCAAAATAAACGGCTCATATATACTCACGTTTCCAGTTAGATGTTATCAATTTTTAAATTCATGTTCGAGCCTTCGTCCATGTTTGTTACCAAACGTGGCATGCAATACATTGTCTAAAATGGTTTTATCTTCACTGCGTTTTGTTACTGCTACGATCTAGACATTCTTTATCGCGGATACAATAATCTCAATTAATTCGAACATTGGCCTCATCCTTTAATCTGCATTTAATCTACATTTTACAGTACGAGTTGATCGAATTCGACGGAATTTGGTTGTCCCACGCGGAACAGTATCGTTGGCTTCAAGTGGATTATCAGATCGGCGTGTTTATCTCGAGATCGTCCGTCAATCTCGTCACAATTAACAAAATCTGGATCATGGCCGTTCTACAGGTATCGCGTACTCGATCGAGCTTACAAGTTTACCTCGTCAAGGACACGATCGACGTATCATCGTCTCCTTGCTTTCGATTGATTACGCACCGTTTGGTAACGTGTCGTGTTTGTTTCAGTTTATCAACGTTATAATTTTGTTATTCGAGTCACTGTATTACTACTTGCCAAGCATTTGGATCGTGTTCGCGTTCGTCTTGTGGGAAGGTTTACTCGGCGGCGGAGCATACGTCAACACATTCTATCGAATGTCCACAGAGGTAAAGCACAATTGTTCGAGGAGTCGATTTTACTTAACTTCGTATCGAATTGCGGCGAGAGCTGCACTGATGCGATGATGCACTGAAACGATCTAATAACTATGCTCAACGATAACATTCTTCGAAATGTTTTCTGGTGTCTCAGTCAAACGAAGTAACCGCATTGCAGTGGCGTAACCTATAGAGACCTGGAAATTACATAAAATGTTTACCGAAACAAAATATTTCTCTAACGACTTGGTCACGAATGGGTGTGATCAGAAGGGTGACTAACTTTTAACTAGGTTCTGAAATTCATTGTAATATATTGAACAAATCGGAATGTTATTAGGTCTACTAGAATACAAAACAGTTGAACAAATATTTCTTATGCTAAATTTTAGCTTCTATATTCGGCACTAAAACTGTTATGTTATTACTTCTTTGACACAATTGTAAACGGAAGAGCAATAACAAAGCAGAAATCATAGGTCGTCTCACCGTATCAAATATTAGGTCATTAAATATGAAATGCGTAAATAAAATCTGTGCCATTCATTCTTAATGACATAATATTTGTCATCGATAATATTAACTCTGGCACAAAAAGTATTCGAATACCTTCCAAAACGCAATAACTTTTTTTAAAATTGACTTGAATTTTTTTAAGTATCGAAGGGACTAGATCCTAAAAATCGCATCTTTTAAATTTTCGTGCCAAGATTCAGTTTTTACAAGTTAGAAAGTAATAACAAAATTTAAAAAAGAGAAGTATTTTAGTCATTGTACAATAAACGAGTCTCTTTAACATTTCAAACAATTCAGGTCATTTAATTCGGTTCTAAAAAAGGTATCGCGTTGTAAAAGGTGTTTAAACACTTTTTATCAGCTGACGTATATCTCGCGCACATTCAGATTATTCGAAGTAACATTTGCCGTGATTTGATTGCAGATTCCGCGAGCAGATCGGAAAATCTCGCTGGGAATCGCGACGATGGCCGATTCGATTGGCATCGCGTTGGCTGGATGGATGTCGATGCCGGTTCACAACGCGATCTGCAAAATGCCACGACCGACTCGAGTAGGCAGCTAGGACGCATCCGAAAGATAGTACACATTTGACAACGATCATGCGACGAATCACGGCCGTACGCTCCGCTGTGAAATCATCCGATACGTATTATCGAATTGTTTTCGGTCCACGGCCTGGATACAGCTGACAATCTAGTACCTATATGTCAACGTCGTCCCTAATCGTTTAATAGACTTTTCAATTGCGTAGCAGGCAGTCCGATTCCGCGACAATCCGTTTGACACCTCGTTCACGCTAACTTGTCGTTTAACGATACTGGGACAGCAAGACGAAGCACGATTACTGTCGAAGACGAGACGAGACGATACGAGAAGCTAGAAACGTAGGGGACGAGGTTAGGAGGCGACGATAGTTCTCGTACATAGCAATCGGTTGATCGTCGTTTGAACTTCCATCGGACCGGAACCACGATGCCTTAAGAAATCGATAGTGAACGGTTCGGTTCACAGAGATGTTCCTGAGAATGAAATTCAACTAGCTTAGACTGTAGGTTTCAATCGTTCCGAGATTTATTTGGTACAAATATTTAAACGACTAGGAACAGGAATAGAATCGTACAAAATTGTTGCGTTTTCAGTCGCGTTCGTTCCGGCGGCGCGTTCGTAACAGAGCTCGAAGCACGCTGGTCGACGAACAATGTTCGACAGGTGGAGGAACGATCTTCTCGTCGAGTTCGGGAGCTCGTTTTTGCGTGACTGTGAATACGCCACGTGTGAAATGTGCGTTTACGACTTCCATAGCAACGATGGACCAAAGGGTATCGCAAGCAATACCGCGAACGCGTCGCAGGTTTTGGGATTATAGCCGCACCTGTTGCATTTTCGTCGTGTAATTATTTAGCTGTTAGGTTTACGTCGTTGCGTTACAAACAATACCAGTATTTCTAGATAGAGTAGCGTCGGTCAATTTTTATGTATTCGCAAGAAAAACGAGTTGATGAAATTTAAAACGTTAGAAAGATTGTTAGAATTGAAGACTATCAATGTATTATTTTCAGTTCATCGAAGTTGAACAAAGAAATTTCTAGTTGATGTAGACTATTTCGCATAAATATCCGTAGTACTACTCGTAACGCCACCCATGCTTCGTCTTCGGAACGCGAATAACAAATATGGAAAACTATGCGAACACCTTTAGATCGAAACTTTCGCTTCTACTAATATTCGCACGCGCGCATTTCTCCTGTCTTCGATTTATAAATCCTTAAACTTATGTTCACCTTTTGATATTACCGTTTGTTATAGTAGCGACGCATTCACTTAGTCTTATTTTTCCCAAAAAAGTTGTGCGTTTTGTTGCCTTTGTTAGATCGATACTTCCCCCCACCCCGCTCCCATCCCGCGTTAAGCGTCGAACATTCCTCGCCAAGAAGTTGCAGGAGCATGCGTAAAGTATTAGAACCGAATCGCGAATAAACGGAAGGACCAAATGGGAGGAAGATGAAACGGTGATCGCGTGTTCGACCCGAACACCTTTCGCAGGTCCTTCGACACCTGGAGATATGTACCATTTGTTTCCTTCTTATCAAAATAATTCGTCTTTACATCTCGAATGTGTATTGTATAATTGTGATATACCGATAGTACTGTTTCCTACAATTATTGCAATATATATGTATGTATATATATACACACATACATTCATATATATGCGAGATATTATATCGTTTACTATGTCATAATATATTTTCGTCGTTGTAGAATTGGAACTGTTTTTTTGATCGCGTTCGGGAACGAACGTCGCGCGATTTTCCGATTCTGTCAGATTTCTTTGCGTTGTTTACGGTTTTCGCTTGTTTGCGCGCAACAATGAACAGGTTAGCGAACAGAACAAACGATCGAAACATTATTTATCGCACGGTATTAATAATCACCGCTATCACATTCGAAACCAAACGGCTAAAATCCTTTTTCGGAACGCGCGCTCGCGTTTTTCGCACTCGAGGCGGCTGTGGCTTGATTGGCGCTCGACATCGAAACCAAGGTCAACGTGAACACAAACAAACGACCAACGGAATGTCCTTCGAGCAATTAGGAACTCTATTTGATTTTTTTATCGATTAATTTACGAAGCGCGTCGCATGCGTTCCTCAACAATTGCACTCGCATGCGGCGCAATCAAAGAATTCGCCGCTTCGCGCTGAACGCCACGCGCAATTACCATTTTCGCGAACTCCACGAGGATTACACACGCGAAATGCACACTCCTCTTCGTAATTGTTCGCACGGTTGGCGCGTTTTATTCAGATTGTAGATCTCGCATCGCGCTTCATCGTAAAACGTAAAGCATATTCGTTCGCTCTCGATAAACTGGACTGACTTAATTAGGCCGTCGATTCTTATGCAGAAAGATTGCTTCCGCCTGTCCAGAGCAAGAGAAAAATATACTCCAACGATGGAAGGATACCGGTAGCTTAGAAATAAATCGGAGACCATTAGACACGATGATGAAGTATTAGGTCTACCGGAAAGTTCTGTATGATAGTGTCACTTCAAGTTTCAATCCATACGCACATGTTGATTTGAGACATATATGACTATCTCTCTTTATCATTGCATTTACACACATGTACTCTCCTAAATAAATTGAAACAAAGATGTCTCATGTCATTATTAAGTGAGACGCGATCGTGAAAACATGGCTACCGATGATAATGCCGGACCACATGCTGCTTTGGCGACTCGTCAGAAAATCGCGGAGCTAGGCTGGGAAATTCTGTCGCATCCACCATACTCCCTAGACCTAGCACCCTCCGATTATTACTTGTTTCTCTCTTTGCAAAACTTTCTACAGGAAAAAAAATTCAAAATTGAAGCTGATGTCAACCAAGCACTAGTTGAATTCTTCGCCTGTAAAAATAAATCATTTTTTAAAAATAGCATTTACAAGTTGCCATCACGCTGGCAAGAAATCATGAGTAACGATGGAAACTATATATATATATTCTAGAAGAAATATTATTAAATGTATGGAAATTGTGTTATATTTCAATTCAAAAACGGACAGAACTTTCCGGTAGACCTAATACAAGTTTCGTTGCGTGCTTAAAGTAAATCTTCTGGAACGCAATCACGTTTTTATGTCGCTTCTGCAGTGTTTTATAGCTCTCCTAATATTTACGGAGAAGAGTGTGCACAAAATGAATACCCATTCCCCCCCCCCCCCGGAATTTCTATAAGTATCTACGAAATCGTTTGATATCAGTCGCTCATATTGTCTCGCATTGACACTTATATTCTGCAAAAATCATCCCAAAATCGAAATGATCGAACATCATTGTACCCTTGTGGTAGGGATACGGATGTGGCGCGAATGGCGGACATCTTGTAAAAATAACTACGTGCGTAATTTTGATTGACCTTGCACACGATCACGCGCATCGCTCGAGAATCAGCTTCCCGGACTCCTCGTACTCTTGCCGTGACAACCACATCTGTTGGAAGGATCCAAGCGAGCTGAGGATCGATCCTCCGATCCAAGCACCGTAGCGACGCTCGCTCGTGCTGTTCGCGCTAATTATTTTCAGTCTCATGCTCTACGAAAAAATAGCGGTCGATGTTTTTATTGAACAACATCAGTATTTTTAATATGAATTTAGCGCTTACCGGAGGAGTTTTACTAGCTAGATCACGATTCAGTCTTTCGCTAAAACCTTGCAGACAGGAGTTGCCTCCGGTGACTACTACGCTTCCGTACAGGCTCTGAAACGAATTGATTGTTTATTCAATTTCATTGATTTGTTCAATTATTGTACGTACATCCTCTAGACTTGCGTGTGATAAAATACAGGTATAACACTCTAATTTGATCCTTTCATAATTATATTCACCTTCTTCCAAATCAAAATCATCTTTTTGCAAATTATATATATATATATATATATATATATATATATATATATATATATATATATATATTTTCGAATAAAAATGATAACTAACAAATTTGTTGTTCTGAAATTTTTTATTTTATTTTACGTATGTAACAATGAACTTAAAATACTCAAATAATGATCATGCCATTATTCTCAATGATTCTCTCGCTATGGTAATTTTGTATTCTTATTCATATAATTGCGACAATCTGTGCGAGATTCCAATTCAGTCATCATTGATGATATGAAAAATAGTAATTTGAACCCTATTTGACTAACAAGGTCATCCAGTTCTTGGATATTGTGGAGGGTTACATTGTTCAAAGATTTTGTCTTCGTCCAGATTTTTCTCTCAGTAATCCATAAAGTAATTTTCAAATATTTGAAGTTCATCTGACCGAATTCATTTGCAAAAAGGTGAATATAACTGTGACAGGAAGAATTTGATTTGAAGAAGTTGAATATAATTGTAAGAGGAAAAATTAAATTTGAAAAAGGTGAATGTGTCCTGAAAAAGGATGAATTTGATTTGAAAAAAGTTGAATATGTCCTGCAAAGGGATGAATTTAGAGTGCAAAACCTGTAGAAAATGGGATTAAACTCGCAATAGTTTTTTCTATCTTTGAATTGTCGAAACTTTTCATGAGGTGAAGAGATTCTATTTAACCGGATATCTATTTGCTATAGTTACTGTAGCAATTTTATTGTTGTTTTGGTAATATCATGAAACCGCACTGAATGCCTATTCTTTGGACACTGACATCAACTTATGGATTAGAAATAAAGATATTTATTCGAAAAATCTCAAATTCTAATGCTTTAAAATTGTCGCGATTAACTTATCTCCAATTTGAATTATTTTCCAATGTATACAAGTTTTGCACTAAAAAATAATTCTTTTGTACATCACATTCACGTCTGTCGCACTTACTATTAGTCCCCTTGTAGATCATACTCAGTTTTTTTATAAAATCAATTAACCCCTTTACATATAAAGATTGGCCGTCTTTTATCCAATTTTGAAATAATACAAATTTCATTACAAATAATTAATCTTTGTTAATCTTCAATAATTATTTATAAAATGTCAATCAGTTTTTAAATTTAATACCAATTTTATTACAAATATTATAGTTACATATAAGTGAATTTCGTTTGCATAAAGGTGAATAAGAATCTGCAAAAGGATTAATTTGGAGTGCAGAAAGGTGAATATGATCTACAAAAGCATTCATTTAGAGTGCAAAAAGATGAACAAGACCTACAGAAGGGTTAATTGCAAGGGATGAGTGCGAAACCTGATGAAAAATGAATGTTTAGGCTAGAAAGTAGTTCGTGATTTTGCATATCCTTTGAAGACATTTCATTTAGATCGAGTCTATCAGAGGTTATGTTTCAAAACAAATTTTACCTATTCTACAAGTAGATAACTCACCGGTCTGATGTCCATGTCGCACATGCCCACACTGGTCGTGACAAGTGGTCCAATACCGAGAATGCTGGCTCCGACACCTTTCACATTGCTAGGATCAAACAACGCTTCAGGAATCATTAACCTCACCGAACCAAGGTCATCGTTGTAACCAGTCGGAAACTCGTAATGTTTCATTGGCAGAGTGTTGGCCACGTCTTCGTCGTAGGGACAGTCGGAGACTTGAAGGACGTTCATCTGAAAGTCTTGCAACAGTTCCCGAACCATGTAACTTAGCCAGGAGGATGACGGCTGCGGGCCGGGTTTTCTGACCCATCGGGGCGTCTCCCTTTCTCGCACAATATCTAGAGAATGCGTTAACTTATTATTTGTTACATTTCTTGGGATCTTCAGATCACTAATTTTGCATGTATTGGGTTGGCAACTAAGCAATTGCCGATTTCAGTTATAGACGTCTCTCACTCCCATTTTTATGATATCCGTAAATGTTATATTATAAAATTATTAATATTATTATTATTATTATGTTATTTTTTATTATCCGTGAATGTTAGCAACTGGACAAATTGAATGCAGCGGTCAAGGAAAAGCGACCACTTAACTCAGTTTTTGGCCGAAAAGGATCAGACTTTCTACGTGCGTGGGATTTTCAAGTTGTCAGAGAGCTGGCAAAAGGTCATCGAACAAAATGGAAAATACATTACAGATTAAACTTCGTTCCAAGTAAAAAAAAATTTTTTATTTCATTGAACAAATCGGCAATTACTTAGTTGCCAACCCAATAAAATGAAGTACTAGTCAATAGAAATGCTTAGAAGAATGATGATCGAGACTCATCGCAAAATTCGTAAAAGATGACATTACTGCTGTTGAAATAAGAATCGAGTGTCAAAATTTTTATCTGCTGTGAAGTTTGCATAAGTAAGAACAGTTATTAATTGCAGATCTAGCTATATCTATTAACCCTTTACACTCTGAATTGTTATATCACGTTCCAAAATAATATTTGCATTATCAAATTTGTTTATATTTTAAAACACCGTTGAAAGTGTAACTGTTGCATAAATATAGAATCCCCATTAAGTTACATAACATGGAAACATAGTAAAGTGTCTCCCTAATTGATGCTCAGATTGTATAGAAAAATGGACAATTTGTGAAGAGGAGATTGTCAACAATTATAAAAACGAGCCGCAAGGCTCGAATAATCCTATCTCGTCTTCCCAAATTGTTCATTTTTGTGCACAACCGAGCGTCAATTCGGAAGAATTTTTACCATTTGTAGATCAGAGAAACTATNATCCGTAAATGTTATATTATAAAATTATTAATATTAT